TTTACACAGGGAAGCTTCTACACACAGCACGATTTCACACAGAGAAGCCCCTACACAGAGAAGCTTTTACACACAGCAAGCTGTTACACAGAGAAGCTTTTACACAGGGAAGCTTCTACACACAGCACGATTTCACACAGAGAAGCCCCTACACAGAGAAGCTTTTACACACAGCAAGCTGTTACACAGAGAAGCTTTTACACAGGGAAGCTTCTACACACAGCACGATTTCACACAGAGAAGCCCCTACACAGAGAAGCTTTTACACACAGCAAGCTTTCACACAGAGAAGCTTTTACACCGGGAAGCTTCTACACACAGCACGATTTCACACAGAGAAGCCCCTACACAGAGAAGCTTTTACACACAGCAAGTTTTTATGCAGAGAAGCTTTTACACACAGCAAGCTTTCACACAGAGAAGCTTTTACACAGGGAAGCTTCTACACACAGCACGATTTCACACAGAGAAGCCCCTACACAGAGAAGCTTTTAACAGCAAGCTGTTACACAGAGAAGCTTTTACGCAAGAAGCTTTTACACACGGAAGCTTTTACCCACAGAAGCTTTTAGACAGAGAAGCTTTTACATACACAAGCATTTTCGCACAATGGTGCCAGAAATTGCAACTTCAAAACCGGATCTCAGCGCCAAAGCCAAAAAAAAGACGATTTTGAAGCACAACTGGGAAATATTTTGTTTAAAGGAAAATCACCAGCGCCAAAATTGAGAAAATCTGCTGACAGATCACTATCGCAACCTTGATGCAGCCACCCCAATACGATTTACGAGATCCAGCTGCAAAAAACAATAATATTACGGTGCAGCTGCGGCGCCACGCAACCTTGACGCAGCCCTTACAATGCGATCTGCACAGACTGAGCTGCAAAACACAATAGGAGTACGCGCAAGAATGTCACATATTGCAGCTGAGCTGCGAACACACAATAGAACTACGCGCAACGGCGTGAGAAACTGCAGCTCTACAACCGGATCTCGACGCCAAAGCAAAAAAAAAAAAAGACAATTTTTGAAGCACTTTTCAAAAGGAAATTAAAAGGAAAATCACCGGTGCGAAAAGTAAGATAATCTGCTGACAAATCACTATGGCAGCCTTGATCCCGGTTCCAACCAGCGTGTTTCGAAGCCCCGCGAAAAAAACTTCCCCATCGATCTTCCGGGACACTTTTTGTCCTGCAAAACACAGCATTTCGTGCATCCGCTAACCGTCAGTTTTTTTGCCTGTTGTTTTTACGAAATCGAGCTCCCGCTACAGCCTTTTCGGACCTCATCTTCCAAAAGTGCTCCGCAGATGTCAATTTTTAAAACATTTTGAAATGCAACTTGATCTCTGCAGTGTCCACTTTTTGTTGACAACTTTCCCAGATCGAGGCCCGGACCCGCAAACACACACCGTACTTCGGCAAACCCATGGAGCCACCATACCCATAAAAACACGGTGTTTCGCTCCCGAGAGTGTTTTCACCCATAAATTCACACGCTCCCGGACTCTTTCACTTCCCAACTACTTGATGATGGGGTTGACATGTGATGATGTGGTTGACACGATGATGTGAATGCTAACCATGACCATCGTCCGCAACTGTGACGGTTTCTCAGTAAACTTCCTTTGATTATATCGATAAGACTTCTTATGGGATTCCTTTATATGAATTCAAGGATACAATATCGGCATGATGGCTTCACTGTTTCACACATGGTTGTGTAATTGGCTTTATGTTGGGGAACCATTTTATATAGGAAAAATGTCGGCTGCTCAGTGAGCTGCGCAAACAGTTCATCTAAGGATTTCAGATCATTTTGGACATATGTGGCCAACTTAGAATTAAACATTTGAAAACATGCAGCTTTTCCATGTTTGGGTTATTTGAAGAGTTTGGCCTCTCGAGTCCCCAATTTTTGACTCAGAATTCATTGCAACATTGAAAAGCATTGCGTTGTTTCATTGTTTAGTCGAGCCAGCAGTGTTTGACTGACAATCCACTGAAAATTGACAAAAAAACATTGATTTATATACCAAAATAATGTATTATATAGACAGGTATGGGTTCTAGACAGGTATGGGTTCTTGAGTCTTCAGTGATTGAATGATAAAAACAGTGCAAGCTAAGAAAGCGATTGTTTGATATTGTTTGCTTATTTGAAAGGCTTCGGTTTTGGAGCCAGCCCTATTTGACGGATTATCCAGTTGTACTGTTTGCAGTTCCGTTAAACCCAACACTTTTGGATAAAAACAAATAAAAGAAGGAACAGTTTGTTGTTTTGGACTTTTCGAACGTACAAAACACAGCACAGACACACCGACACAAGCACAGCACAAGCACAAGCACAGCACAAGCATTGAAAGGAAAAGATTCACAGACAAAAACATACATTGTCATGTGCAAAACTGCAATGAGCAGCGAAAGAACACGAAAAAACTGTACAATGGGTACAATGACTTGGTATGTACGTGGACACTGGGAAAAAAAGAACGGCACGAAGACATGCGACTGAGGACAGTGAGGAAACGCAGCGTAAATCGATGTAAATCGCATAAGCAAGAGTCATATAACATGGCTGTAAGAGTTCTTATAAGAGTTTGTAGAATAGAAAAGTCATAAGAGTTTCGTCCGAGAGAAAAGTCATAGACCGTGTGAAAAGTCATAGAGGCACCGGCAACGATTTCAAGAGGACGTGCGGGAATGTCGAGGTGCCGTGTCAGGGACGAAGATGCCAAGGGAATGTCGAGAGAAAGAGAGCGGTTTCCGGGTGTCAACAGAAAGAAGCGTCGAAATGCCAAGAGAAAGCACTCACAACGCACCTGTGTCTTGACCATGCTGGCGCATTATTCTCCTAACCAGAGTAAACACAATACGAATTGCAGTAGATTGCAGAAGCGATAGAAGTCATCACACTTGAGACTAGACAACATTGCGGAACACTACAGCACCATACAATGCACTGTGTCACACTACAGTTGCAAAATGTTGCATTACATTGCATAGCATGAGTGAGCATGACATGACACTGCACACATTCATGCACAGTCACACGACAGATACAATAGTCTCATTCTGCCTAAATATACTAATAAAATCCTACCCATGGGGCGTGAGACGCAATAACGCATAACCCACAGCCAGAAACAACATAAATGTTAATCATAAACAAAACACTTAGCTAAAACAATGCAAGATATCGTACTATCGCACAAAGACATTAGCAAAATCATGCAAAATCTAACGCCCGCATCATACAACACACCGCTTGCGGCGCGCTTGCGGCGCGCAAGGATCGCCAGATCTTCGCTGAGGTGCATGGGGCGCTCGGAGGCATCCGAGGTGCGGCCTTGGGGTCGGATTGGTCGGTGCCATGACCATCAAGTGACCATCAACTAACCAAAATCGGATTTCAAGATTTTTCAAGTTCCAAAAATCTTTCCATAAAATGAAAGTGTTGGGCCTCAAGGGCCTAAAACCTCCAAATTCGACGTGGTGAAATTCGAAGACATTCCGTTTCCTCAGGCCTTGAGCAATGGGTCATTATTCCAGGGGTTGTCTCTGACTGGCCACATAACCTTCCTGAAAATCAGGCGAGCTTTTCCGCGGAAGAAACGTCCAATCCTGCAAAGTTCAGAACTGAACAAACTGTTCCTTTGAAGATCTTCTCAATTGAGAAGAAACTGAAAAATCCTTTTTTTCCGAAATTCAAAGATGGAAAAAGATTTAACGAGCCTGCCGCTAAAATGATTAGCAGTTTTGACCGCTTCGAGCGACCCATGATTTACCAGGTCCCGCCTCCGAAAAGCACCACTTCCACATACCTAACGCGCAGAATTGCAGAAGATCGATCAGATCGAATCAGAAAACATAAAATCAACATAATCAACTTCAATGAGAAGTAAAATGCAAAATCAACCTCAAAATAGTTGAAGTGGCGTCATTGCATGATAAAGGCATTTGAATGCCCTCAAGACAAACATCCACGAACTACCGGCATGCAGCACACTTCAAAATATCAAAAGAGAACGCCGCGCTCCGAGAAAGAAAAAACCGTCGCAATAAAAACCGATAACGTACTGATTGTCCCTCAAAGTCTCTTATCTGTGCTATGTAAAGCTTAGGACGATCTGTGGCTCATGATACTGTCCATCTTTCCTGCCTTGGCATCACGGCGACAAAAGATCCTGGAGAACAAAGCCAAAACGATCCAAAACGTTCAAAACAGTCGTTGAAATTGTCAAATGTCAAAAAGATTGGTCAAGAAATGTCAATCACACCATCTTGCCCTATGGCCCCACAATCCATGATGGCCAAGTTCGGCCGGCGGCACACTTTGGCAGTTGACTTGTGGATCTTATGGATCTTATGGAGGCCTGTCCTGTTGGTTCTGGTGGTGGCAGCTGCAGTGGCTTGAAGCGACGTCTTGAACGTCGCCACGAAGCTGGGTGACATCTGTGACAGCTGTGACAGCGCACAAACGAGGCCAAGCCCAAGAACGCCAAGCCCACGAAGCCCACGAAGCCCACGAAGTGCACGACATCCACGAAGCAATCGCAGCACACGGCCAGATCTGCCAGATCTGCCTCTGCCACGACGCCGAAGCGTTCGAAGCGTCACCGTCGACACACGGTCGCGCTCACACCCATTGCGCATCCGAGGATCAAAGATGCACAGAAGCGGCAGCGGCAGCGGTGAGGAAACAGATTCAACATGTGCAACTAAGAACGATAGCCGGTGAAGAAGCATGTGATGAATACGTCTTTTTGTCGGCACATGTTGAATTCTCTGCAGAAACTTGTGTTGGCAGTTTTCTTGAGCACAAATGTGTCTTGCATAGAGGGATTGAAGGTTTTGACCTCCGTACACTAAGCAGGAACCAAAGTCACACTCTTTCAAAGTTGCTCTGTGGAAGTAAGTGATTGCCAGCATCGGAAAGAAACAAACCGCGCCTTTGACGTATGGCCTTCCCCTCGCAGAGAACCAGAGAACATCTTTCCTTTTTTGCATGAAGTTCTCTGGAGCTCCGGATGGAGCTCAACAGAAGTTTTTCCTGTTGCTATAAGATAGAAACACTATAGAAACATATAAATGACATAGACTGCCAATAGAGTGCCGAGTGCCCGGAATGTCTTCCAGACGCTGGCCACCAAGCTGGACACCAGGCTTTGGGCATTGCCAAGGGAGCGGCACTGACCTCCGATGCTCACGGCTTTGGCTTCGCACGGCGAAGCGCACGGCGAAGCGCACGGCCCTCACTTCGTCACTTCGTTACTTCGTTCCGGCTTTCTTTGGGGCCGCGGGCGAGGCTGGCGATGCAGGTGCAGGTGAAGCAGGTGAGGCAGGTGATGGTGGCGATGCTGGGGCTGCCGGTGCCGCTGGTGCCGACTTCCGCAAAGTCTCAAGGCTCTCCGTGTGCTCTTTCAATTTCTTCTTGATTTGGTCAAGTTCAGCATGCTCAGCAGAGTTCATCTTCTGCATTTCTTCTTTTAGGTCTTTCAAGGCTGATTGCAAGCTTTGCAATCTCTTTTCCTCTGAACTGGCAAGCAGCTTTTCAAGTGTGCTTACTTGCTTGGAAGTCGTCTCGACTTCTTTCTTGTGGGACTCCATCTGCTCGGTTTTTGCCTGCTTTTCTTTTTCCAGAACCTGCTGTTGGGTCTCAAAGTTCTTGGCTGTCTCTGCCTTGTGACTTTCCAACGCTTTCGTCTGAGCCTCCAAGCTCTTACTTGCCGTCTCCTTGTGCTCAGAAAACTCCTTCTTATGGGCCTCTAGTTGTGCTGAAGACTCCTCTTTGTGCTTGGCCAGTGCCTGCTGGTGGGATTCAAAAGCCTTCGAAGTTTCTATCTTTTGCTCCTCCAAGGATTTCTGCAATGTCTCCTTGGCACTGGCAAGCGCAGCACTTGCTTCCTTCTTGTGCGATTCAATTTGCTCGGCTGTTGCCTTCTTTTCTTTCTCCAAAACCTGGTGTTGGGACTCAAAGTTCTTGGTCATTGTTTCCTTGTGCTGGGCAAATTCCTTCGTGTGATCTTCAAAAGCTCTAGCGGTCTTCGCCAAGGACTCACCCAATTTGGCCAGCTCTTGTTTGTGATCATTCAGCCGCCCCGATGTAGATTCCTGAGCGCAAGGTACAAAGTGACAAATGTTAACTTCATAGCCGTGCAACTAGCTGAACATGACACTGTTGTCATGCAACTTCACAGGAAATTGACAAACAACGTTGTACAATGTTTACTTTTAGCTTCGCTTTTACCGCTCTACCAAGTTTCGAGATTTTTGAAGGTTTCAATCTTGTGCACGGTGAGGGCTTCGTTGGTGCTGGCCATCACTGCTGACGTTTCCTTCTTGTGCTCTTCCAAATTCAAAATAATCTCTTGTTTCTGAGCCTTCGACTCCACACATTGAATGCATGAAGGTGTCAAAGGTCAACTGTCAAAAAAATATCCAATATCCTTCGCAGTTGGTGTTTGTTTTTATGTATTGTCAAATCGTCTAGGTGCAGTCACCTGCAATGTTTGGTTTGTTTCACAATTTGGCAAATCATGTTGCATGGCATAGAGGAACGTGTGGCTACACCGTGCGAAAACATTGCTGCGTGATATTGTGTATATGTGTGTGTCTGTGTGCGTGTCCATGTCTCAATGTTTTTTTCGCACACCTACAAAAAAAACGATGCTATATATATATATATACATATAGAAATGTTAGCAATGGATGTTGAAAAGTCACACTTCCAACCTGCGGACAGACGCAACAACAGTTGCGAGAAGAGTCAGAGAAGAGAAAGAATCAGAAGAGAAAGAGTTAGGGAAGAGAGTCAGCAGGAAAGAAGATCACAGCAGCAAAGCGTGCGAGAAGGCAGAAAAGTACGAAACACTGTGTTTTTCCCAAGTTTTGTGGCTCCGGAGGCTCGAAAAGCAGGCTCGCTAAAGCGGCGAACGCAGAGCCATCTGGTTGCACGTCATTGTGGCGCGAAGCGTACCTCAGCCTCGCAGCGTCTTTTGGGAAGCCAGTTGTTGAACAAAGTGCGTGCGAGTGTGGCGCGAAGCAGATTTCCAAGTCCAAATGCTAAAAACACCTCAGCCTCGCAGCACCCTTTGGAAATTGAGCTGTCAAAAAAACGGCAGGCGACTGCAAAACATGCACGTGGCTGTGGCGCGAAGCAAATTTCCAAGTGGAATTGTCAGAAGCACACCAGGTTCGGACCACTTTTGGACGTTCAAGCGTCATTTTCGTGGCAGGCGCACGGGATTTTGCACCTTGCTAAAAATGAGCTAAACATGTGAGTTTTGCAAAGGTTTGAAAAACGATGGCAGGCGTGGGATATTTGAAGAGGATCTGCAAAGGCGCATTTCGCATGGCAGGCGCAGTACAAGAGACATCTTCATCAAAGATGCTGGATGATGTTGGGAGGTCAGGGCGCTGATTTCCTGAGAAGGGTTACATTTTGGAGCATCAGATCTTTAGGTTTGCTCAGGTGGTTGCGCGTGACAGGCGCAGCACTACAGACAGATGGAATGAGCAAATCGCAAAACGCATTGGCACGAGGCCGTCAGCTCTGCACTCCACTTTCCGTTTTTGAACGAAGTCTCGCGTAATTTCGTCGTTTTGGAGTTGTCTTTCTTTTTTGAGGAAGCCCCGTTTCGTTTTGGAAGTCATAAGTGAGAATGACTTGAGTATATTTAATGTATATATGTATTTTGTTATATAAATCAAATTTCGAACACACAATAAAAATTAAATGTTAGTAACTGTTAGTAAAATCGAACACTCAAAAAAATATTTAGTTTAATTTGGGTTGCACAAATCAAAAGTGCGATAAATACTTTGGAAGTCTAGCATATTTGCTTCCGCTTTCAGATAGATAGATACATATAGTTGGATAGATATGAAGTTTAGGGTAGCTAAATAGATAGATACATACACACATACCCATGCATCGGCGGTGAATAGACACAGAAATAGAGATAGCGATAGAGACAGAGATAGACAGAGAGACGTCGAGGGATAGGTGGACATACAGACAGACGGCAGACAGGCAGACAGACGGCCAGCCAGCCAGCTAAACAGACAGACAGGCAGGCAGACAGCCAGACAGACAGACAGGAAGGACAAGACAGACAGGACAAGACAGACAGGAGAGGACAGGAGAGACAGGAAGGACAAGACAGACGGACAACACAGGACAGGAGAGGACAGGAGAGACAGGAAGGACAAGACAAACAAGAGAGACAGGAGAGACAGGAAGGAAAACACAAACAGGAGAGGCCGGAGAGATTGGAGAGATAGGAGAGGTAGGAGAGAAAGGAGAGATAGGAGAGACAGGAGAGATAGAGGAGATAGGAGAGATAGAGAAGATAGGAGAGACAGAGACAAAGAAAGATATAGAGATGGGGAGAGATTGACAGAGAGACAGAGACATGGACAGAGAATTAGAGAGGTATAGCGACAAAGAAAGAGATAGATGGTGCTGCAAGGAGCCTTGTGAGAGGTGGAGAGAGAGAGAGAGGGAGAGAGAGAGAGAAGGAAGAGAGAGAGAGAGAGAGAAAAAAAAAAGAGAAGGAAGAGAGAAGGAAGAGAGAAGGAAGAGAGAAGGAAGAGAGAAGGAAGAGAGAAGGAAGAGAGAGAGAGAGAGAAGGAAGAGAGAGAGAGAAGGAAGAGAGAGAAGAGAGAGAAGAGAGAGAAGAGAGAGAAGAGAGAGAAGAGAGGGAGAGAGAGGGAGAGAGAGGGAAAGAGAGGGAGAGAGAGGGAGAGAGAGGGAGAGGGAGAGGGAGGGAGAGAGAGACAGACAGACAGACAGACAGACCGACCGACGGACAGACAGACAGACAGACCGACAGGCAGACAGGCAGACAGATAGATAGATAGCTAGGTAGATAGATAGATAGATAGATAGACAGATAGACAGATAGACAGATAGATAGATAGGTAGGTAGGTAGATAGGATAGATAGAATAAACTACATAGACTACATAGACTACATAGACACATAAGACTACATAGACTACATAGACTACATAGACTACATAGACTACATAGAATACATTGACTAGATCGAATAGATAGGATTAGATTAGATTAGATTAGATTAGATTGGGTTGGACTGGATTGGATTCGATTCGATTCGGTTAGCTTAGCTTAGCTTAGATTAGACTAGATAGGTTAGATAGATTAGATAGGCTAGATAGATTAGCTAGGTTAGGTAGACTACATAGACAAATAGATTAGATAGATTGGATCGAATAGATAGGTTAGATTAGATACATTAGATAGATTAGGTTAGATTAGATTAGAAAGAACAGAATAGATAGTTAGATAGATGGATGGATGGATAGATAGATGGATAGTTAGATAGAGAGATAGACAGATAGATAGACAGATAGATAGATAGATAAATAGTTTGATTGATACATAGATAACTCAGACCTCAACCACCTTTCGGTCCATTAGTCGCTTCGCTGTGCCATCCATGCATCACGACAACTCACCCCTTCTATAGCATTTCCTATCTTTGTAACTTCGGCCTCTGCCTTGTGCGATGCAAATAGTATATATACTGTGAGTGACCCATCGCGCTGTACTGCTTAAATTGTGTGCAACACTCGGTGCGCAGTTACTGCGTTATATAATATTTATATATATGTATATACAATTTGTTGATTAGAGACAACTAGAACGAATATGTTGCTCGGTGACATGAAAAACAAATATAATGTAATAGAATCAAATATCAATAAACGCTGTGAAATATAATGACGCATCATGAAACCTAATGTGATATAATGAAATAAAATGACATATACATTCTTTACAACTGTCAAGTAATACAAAAGAAACATGCAGAGCCATGTGAAACGTGTTTGTTCTTCGTGTTCTCTGAACGCCTCCATGGTTTTGGCAGTGGCCGCTTTGGTGTCGTCGAGTTCTTTCTCCAGGTTGCTTTGTGTCTGCTTCAACGTTCCAGACACCTAACAGTAAAAAACGATGAGACAGTTCTGAAACGGAAGGAAACACAACAGCAACAGTCAGCAACTCAGAAAACTGAAACAAACCGAAGAACTGAGAAGACAAACGGCTTCAACATGTTTCAATGTTCTTCTCACAAAATGTGACTGCAAGATGCTTCAAGATATCAGTTCAAAGATATTACCAGCAGCCTTGCTGAAATACTTGGCTAGATACCTCGAGAGCACGTTTTCCCCATCATGTACCAGTTAAAGACGCATTAATGAAACTTTGGTTGTTGTCGTATTGTTCCGGGTGATTGAAAATTAACTATCTGGACCATTCGCCATATACCAATTTGTACTTTTCATGCGTTTTGGTATGTTTTGGGGGCATGGTTGACCATGGCTGGATGGTTGACCAGCACGGAAATGTTGTCGACATGCGGAACCTCTTCCTTGTGAGCATCCAAAGACCTGGTGATGAGCCACAGGGCCTTGCAACGCACAGGATGTGATCAGGGGATGTGGTTCATGAAGGGTGCTCTCGCCAGACGAAGGGTGCCAGCACGCCACTATCAGTCACTATCACAACCACACGCGTGGCAAATTTCGGCCTTGGAGGCGTTGTTCTTGTAATCTGAAACAGCCTGAGGTGCAAGGCCAAAGTTTCACGTTCAGTGCGCTTACGCCTGTGCACTTGTATCACGTTGCATCTACACTACATGTATTATACATATTGTCACATATTGTCACATGTCATGGAGAGCGAGGTCAATTAAGGTCAATTAACAAGCTGAACAGCGTGATGCTCATCTTGGCTCACTGACCTCCTTCAGGTTCTCAGCGGAGGCGGCACTGGCGGCACTGAGCGCGTCGAGCGCGGCACCGTTCTCGGCGAACTTCGCCGCAGCCGAGGCCCGGAGCTCCGTCAGCCCGTCGTCCGTGAGCTGCCGCTGCTCCTCAGAAAACCGAAAAAGCAGAGGAAAAAGCAGATAAGAAAAGAAAATGATAAAAAAAAGGGAGGACATGGGAGGACATGGGAGGAGACGAGAAGATGACGATAATACGCAAGAGATATGATGACGAGAAGATAACCAAAAAATATGAATGATAACAATCATGACAATGATGCATGCTGGCACAAGTCTGTCTTATATCCACAGTTAGATGCTCTTTGTCCCCAAAGGCTTGCTCCCGGGCTGGCACCTGAGCGACACTCAGAATCACAAGAGATGAAGATTTTACACGCATATGTTTTTACTTAGACAAACTTTTACACACAAAGGCCTTGCACAGAGAAGCCTTTCCACAAACCAGCTTTTAGAACAGACGCTTTTACACAGACACGCTTTTGCACACAGAAGTTCTTACACGAAGAAGCTTTTAAACAGAAAAGCCTTTTCTCGCAAAAGCCTGCACACACAGCGGCTTTTGCAAACACGCGCTTTTACGCAGAGAAGCTGAGCAGCTTTCATACACAGATGCTTTTACAAACAACCCCTTTACGCACAGAAGCTTTTCACACAGACGCGTTTACACACAGGAGCCATTACACACAAGCAGGGCAGCTCTTGACACACAGAGGCCTTTACGCACAGAACTCGAAAAACAGGGGAACTAAAATGACCATGAAGTTGAATCTGTGACAGCCCTTGTTTTCCTTGCGTGTCTTGTGTCAAGCCTTGCGTTTACCTAGGTCGTGCTCTAGAGCCATAACAGGTACATAGACAACAATGGACATGAGGCACCGTAGATTAGGTACCTTTCAAGTCGGGTGTTCTCGCTTTAAGATGGCAAGATGCTGTTATTGACCCGAGCTCAAACCTAAGTATCTGCGCGTAAAGACTGTGAAAGCTTCTGTGTGTAAAAGCGTTTCTGTGTTTCAAGCTGCTCTGTGTAATGGCTTCTGTGTGTAGAAGCGTCTGTGCAGAAACTGCTGTGTAACGGCTTCTCTGCGTACAAAAGGCTGTGTGTAACGGTCCTCGCGTGTAAAACCTTCTGGGTATAAAAGCATCTGTGTGCAAAGCTGCTCTGTGTAAAAGCTTCTGTGTGTAAGAGCTGGTCTGTATAAAGGCTTCTCTTTGTGAAAAATCTCCTCTGTGTGAAACTCTCTGTGGGCGAAAGCTTCTGTGTAAAAGCTGCTCTGTGCAAAGGCTTCTCTGTGTAGAAGCTACTTTTTGTCAAAAATGCGCATTAAGACATGTTTGACGAAAGGCTCTTCTGTGTAAAAGCTTTCGTGTGTAAAAGCTTCTGAAAAACTGCTCAAGGGCAGAGACTGTTTATCAAACCTCGCTGGAAGACGAGACGGTGATTTTTTTCCCGCCATCAGGCTTCGGGAAACACAAATGTGTTTATGTTGCATTGGGTCTTTGGTTGAGCTGAATTTGCAATGTTCTTTGCTTGTAAATTTCCAATAGATAAATGTTTAACTCACTACCAGTACCAGATATCAATATCACTATCACTATCTAACTGCCTGACTCACTGTCACTATCAGCTATCAGTCCCTAGAGTCACTAGACTTGACTAGACTAGACTCTAGGGTCTCTAGAGTCTAGAGTGAGTATTCCTAGGGTGAGTTAGAGTGGCTACATTGAGACCTGGACCTAGAGCCTAGAGCCTCTACAGCCTAAGTTCTAGACCAAGAAAAAAGCTGCCCTCATGTTCCTTAAAAAAATCAGGGGCCCTGCCAGTTCTGAGTTTGTTCAGGGGTTTTGGTTTGAGCTGGGCAGGGCGCATCCTCAGTTCAAAATTTGTCAGGCTAGTTCTTTGCTCAGTTTTCAGTTGTTTGCTGCCAGCTGCCCACTAAGTCATTAAGTGCCTCAAGTCTACGGCCTAGAGCCTAAGGCCTTGACCCTGGGGCCTAAGGCCTCAGGTCCGAGATTCTAGGGCTGCGACCCTGGAGCCTAAGGCCTCAGGTCCAAGATTCTGCGGCCTCGAGCCTGGAGATTTATGATTTTTTTGAAATGATTTTTTTGAAATGGTTTTTAAGGATGTTTTTTTCAACATTTGTGTTTTGCCGTTGGTCTCTGTGATGGGCCCACTTGGATCTGGAATGCATACATACTTCGTCAGAATTCCTGGAAAATAAAGAATTTTTCATAGAGTTGGACTACCTGGCGTTGATTCCGCCCGCAGATGAAAAAGATGCTGCAATCTTTCAAGTGCATCTGTTCATGATGAATATTTGCTGGCAAGTGAAGGAAGGGAGGTGCCAGCAACCAATCATTTACCCGATATTCTTGCTGTCGTTTTGCTTTTGGGTTCTCCAGCCCCCATTATTTTGGAAAACGGAATGCCCCGCGTCACCCTTCCTTCTAACATCTACTCGCTCCATCAGAATCTTGATTGGCACAGTCGACAATATCATGGCAGCCGTGCGCCATGGGCCCATTTTGGACAGGATCTAATTTGCCTCTGCCAAGGCATGTTTTTGGTCTGCCCAAGGTGCAGGCGAATGAAGAACATAACAAGGACAAGGGTGATGCGCTAACATGCACGCTGGTGGAACTTCAAAGGGGCGTACTTTGAAAATTGAGTTCAGTTCAACCGAATCAGCACCGCCCTGCAACGCTGGTGTTTTTAGACGAATACAACTGGCTATCTGTGTGCTACCCAGTTGCAATTTTTCCAAAACCACGATGAACAATTGTTACGGTGGCGGGGCGTTTGTACAAATGGATAAGATTTCTGGTTGGTTTGTTAATCTCGCTCGTCAAGAATTCCCACAGAAGTTTCACAGACTTCTCAAACCACCAACAAACACAAGCGAACGAATCCAATCCGAAAATCATACCGCGCAAGCAAAATTTCAATGTGTTAGAATACTATAATTTTCCCAATCTTGCACGCGTGCTTCCTAGCGTGTCACTGGCTGAGGCTCCTTCAGTTTGTCGGTAACCTCCGTGCGGTGGGCTTCCAAGGCCTCCATGGCGGTGATGAGGCCTGCGCTCGCCTCCTGGCGACAGCTCTGGACTGTGGCATTGTGCCGCTCCTCTGCCGCGGCCATTTCCTGCCGAGCAAACAGAACATGATCAAAACACGTTTCGAAACATGTAACCATCATATTGGTTTTTTTTCGCTCTTAATTTTGCTCCACACGCTCACGAGCGCGAGAGAGCGAGAGAGCGAGAGAGCGAGAGAGAGAGAGAGAGAGGCAGACAGGCAGGCACAGGCAGGCACAGGCAGGCACAGACAGGCACAGACAGGCCCAGGCAGGCCCAGGCAGGCACAGACAGGCACAGGCAGGCGCAGGCAGGCACAGACAGGCACAGACGACAGGCACAGACGACAGGCACAGACGACAGGCACAGACGACAGGCACAGACGACAGGCACAGAGACCGGCATAGAGACAGGCACAGAGACAGGCACAGAGACAGGCACAGACAGGCAGACAGCAGACAGACAGCAGACAGACAGCAGACAGACAGCGCGAAATTCCCACAGCACCAAAGTACTAACAACCTAACTCCAAGCCCAACCCAAGTAAGACTCAAAGTTCCTCTTTTACACCGGGCATTTTGAGCCAGATCTTGAGCCATGAGCCAGGTATTTGGCAGAAGTCTCATGCATGTAGAGCGGAGGTAAAGTGCCTGTAAAGTTTCGCACGCCCCTTTGGACTAAAGTTCACTTGAAGTCCACATGAATTAGGCACTGCATGAGAAAGCTAAACGAAGTCACAAATCACGTGAACAAAGGTTTCGCGCATTCATGCAAAGTGCTTGGCGCGCTGCGACACAAAGTGAAGATGATTAAAAGTACCTTCCAAATGTCAGCCTTGAAACACTGTTCCCTGGACAAACGTCATCAAAAACGTGAGGTCCAAACCGACTTCTTTCAGGTTCATAGCTCTGTTGGCTTATAGACCCTGGTTTGTTTAGTTCAGCTACGTAGGTCATTTTAACCCAAAAAAGAAACGGAGAAAACCAAACAAGGTTTGTGTTTTTCCCCCTCAGCAGGCGATCTTTTCAACACATGATCAATGATCCTTCAAAATGCTTTAAAGCATTCTGTGCATGCAAAATGCAAGCGTCATAATCAATTGCGGTTATCATCGAGAGGAAAAACCCAAATATTTGGCGGAACACCAAATGACCCATCTGTGAACATCAAACTGTACACTGCCGATGACAGGCGCCGCAACAACTTTCAGTCAATCATGACAGCATTTCGTGACTGCCAAAAACACTTCAAACATCTTCACGCCACTTGACATGTTTCCGAGAGACTTCAAACATCTCATAAACATGCAATGCAGTCCTAAACTTTTCCAGATCACCACACATGAGTTCCAAAGCAATTTCTAACAAATTCAGCATCCAACTCAGAAATTTCAGGAGATGGAGAGCATGACTGTAAACCATGCAGCTGTTCCAAATGCAGAAAATCGATGCTTCGACCAATTCCAGGTTTGAGCTCATCTTCGGATAGACGCATCACGCGAGACCATAGGGGATTGAAAACAGCATCAAATTCCAATGCGAATCCACTATCGCGTACAAAATCTTCTCGGCATTCCAAAGGATGTCGAAAATGCCTGGAATTCCAGCTTGAATACAGCAAATTGCATCATACCACACGATGAGAAACTTTACGACTCTACAATCATCTCAGCGGTCCAACGCAGTACCGCATCCCAGTTTCACAAGCTGTGGCAAATTTAGTAACCAAAAGTACCGATCCAAAGTTTGGTTGGAAACCTTGTCCCACCGTACCTTTGCCCGACGGGGTTCTCTGGCAAAGATGATGCCACAAAGTAAGGATCGCGAGAACCGACAAAGCCGTTCCAGATTCCCTTGATCAAAGTATTTCCCATACTGCTGTGAAGTCAAATCTTTCCAGCTGTTCGGAGAATAAAGTAGTGCGAGTTCACCAAGTTTCCACATTAGTGGGTCTGGTGTGTAGAAAGTAATGCAGTGTTTTATCAGATTTCCACAAAGATGGTGCCGGCCCGTAGAAATCGAGAATGCAGCAACCAGGTCATAATGCCATCTCAACGCAGCGAAAAAGTCATGATCGCTTCGAAGTTGCCTATTTCAGGCGTGCACATGTGGCAAAAGTGACCAAAAGTTTGGACAAGTTGAGAGCCGGCCAAAATGAAGGTTTTTCACTCTTAAAGTTACGGTTTTCATAGACTTGGACAAAACCTGTACCAAAAAAAATGCAAAGTACGCTACTGCAAACTAAGCTGGTATCAGTCCTAAGGTAGAGAGGTGTCTGGAAAGTACACCCTTACCTACGTCTTTGGTAAGTACATCAGCAGGATTCAAGGTACCCAGAACTTTCCTAAGCCTCACCAATCCAGAGGTAACAAGCAAACAAACAAGTCTCCAACACAAGTGCTCTCAAAAATAAGGCATCGGAAGTCCCCGACCCGATGGCATAAAGTTCCGCCTCGCCAGAACTAAACGCAACAGTCGCTTGCGTGCATGAGTGCGAAAGTACGTTTGCACCAAGTACAAACACAGCAACGCCAGAAATAGAACGTCGTGTGTGTGTGCGTGTGTGCGTGCAACCAGTCCAATCACTGTCGACGTACATGCTGATGTCAAGTGAATGATGATGAGGATGAAGTTTCAAAGTTGGTCGAAGTGTTTGCGCGACGTGTTTTGTTCCGTGTAAGTACCTGAGTAAATGCTTCAACCTTGACAAGTGATCTTCAGTAGGTGCTGAAAGTCCTCTTGACAATTCTTTCACAGAGAACATGATGTCATTACGTACATTGCACATCCACAAAAGTTGACCTACCAGTCTCCTGTAGACCTTGTGTTTCCTGTGGCTTTGAAGTCCCTCCAGGAGTCCAAGTTGGTTTGCAACTGCGCATGTTCAACTCGTCCAACATCAAGTCCACATATGAAGTACGCATGAAAAGTTCAATGCTGTCTGCGTTTCGTTTGATCTGCCTACCAAGGAAAGTGACTGCCTTACCTTCAGAAAGCTCACCAGTGGTTTTCACCAACAAGTCCATTCCCAAATCTTGGGCAAGCTGAAAAACTTGGGCAAGCTGAAAAACATCAGAATCACTCCCAAAGACCATCAAATCATCGACATAGCAAAGAACACAAGAAAATGAATTGAGAACAGTTAAGTTTGGATCACACTTCATTCGTTTGAAGTTGTTGGTCTTCATGACTGATGCAAAGTGGTCCTGCCAAAGCCAAGGTGCAAACTCAAGTGGTGGAATGACAAAAATGCCTTCTGTAGTGATCAGTGCATGCAAGAAGGCAGTGGAAATGTCAAAAGTGGATATTCTCCACCCAAAAGCTACGGACAAAGTCAACAGAAGTTTCAAAGTCTTCAAGGAAGGAGTACTGGCAAAAGTATCATCGGTTTCTTTGACCTGATCGTAACCACTGACTACACGTCTACACCCAACAGTACCATCATGAGTCCTTACCATAACCCAACGTGCAGAAATGACTGTGTCAAGTTGAGCATCGGTAAGCGACGAAGTTTGAACCTCTTCAAAAACTTCGACGACTCTTCCATAGACTTCAATTTCAAGTTGCCTCAGAAATTCGGTGTCATACCAGAGTTGAGGATTTTCAAAAGTTTTCATCAAAATAAGTTCATTCTCATCCGCATTAACTGCAACAGGAACTTCAAGTGGGCTCTGTGATACAGTAACCGCCGAAAGGATTTAGCATCGTAAACCGGTCCTTTGACATCAGCAAAGTCTGGTGTGACAATTGCTGAAATTCTTTGAACTTTGGAAGAACTCACATCTTCTGGTTCCAAAGTACGTTTCGACTCAAGTTCAACTTCCTCATTCAAACGCTGCCTATGTGGAAGCGGCAAGTCATCCTCGGTAGTGTCGAGTTGTCTCCTGAACACCAGAATGTCTTGAAGTCGATTCCTAAGTGGTCTCCAAAGTTTCCTGGGTGCGTTGATCCTTAGTAGGAGTCGTTTGGTCCTGAGTCAAAGTTGATTCTGCCTCAGTGGTTGAAGGCGCCCCCTGGGAAGGAAGCGCAGGGTCCGCCGGTAGTATGAAGTGGTCAGTCTCAACACGCTTGGACCCAGTAGGATCCCATGGGGTAGCTTGAACTGAAAGTAGAAGTGACTGACTCATTTGTTTTGAGGGCACAAGTCTCCTAACAGACCTTGTCTTGAAAACACCTAAAGCATCAGCAACAAAGTGCACATCTGATTCAGCACATCGTCCCAGCCAAATGCCAAAAGTAAAAGAAGGCTCTGCTTTGGGCATTCCGAGTTTTCTGAACTGAACCGTTTCACCAAAGTTGCAAAGTGAACCGAAGCACTTCTTTCCCCAAGGTTTTTCGTAGGGAGTAAAGCCGTCGGATGTCTGCAAGTATCTATTCATGAGCCATTGTGCATGTCTCACGACCCATGGGTACAAAGGTGAAGTCACAGACAAAGTGATCTGGTACCTTTGCTCCAAGTTAAGCTTCAAAGTTCGTACTTGAGCATACAAAGTGGCCTGCAAATTTCCTACAGCACCTTGGGCCTGTTTCCATCCTACAGGGGGATTTTCTCATAGAAAGTCCACCAACGTCACTTGTGGCAGCTTCAGCCAAAGCCACGAGTGACGGTTCAGGATCACACTGAAGTATTCCAAAAGTCCGGCCAGTCTCCAGAACGAAACGTCGAAGTTCAGAAGGTGAATAAGCTGATCTGCCTTTCGCTGGGATAACTACAGAGGAAGTCCAAGTCCAGACAAAACATCCAGCGCATTCACCAAAGTAACTTCACTACTATCTTTGTCCTTCATGAAAAGTCCATTTGGATAAGTGGCTGTCTGGTGGAAGTTGGTTTGCTGTGGCTTTGTTTTTAATTTCGACTGGACACAAACTGGACACCATGAACGAAATGGTAAGTGAGTCAAATTGTGCTCAAGTATTTCATTTTCGGTGGGACCCGTAGGTACTGGAAGTCCTTTCAACTTCCGAGCAGCAAAGTCAAACTGGCCTTCAAGTTGAATTTCCTGAACTTCCAAATCTTTTGAAAAGAAAGTTGCCCCAACAAATGGACGAAGTAGAAAGTCACCAGAAAATCTGCAAGTGTCGCTGGTGTCGACCAAAACTTCTTGGGTTTCTGAACCCACAATCATGGTAAAACGGTCATCACCCAGCCCCGCAAGTTCTTGGTCTTTTGGACTAAATTGCCTATCCCTTTGAACATAGTGCATTCGAATCCAAAAAGTAGGAAGTTCGATCCACATGTCATGAACATAAGGCTGGCCAGTGGTTGGATCCATAAGTTGAAGTTGTTGAACAACTGCTTTCTTTTGAGCTCCAAGTGCTGATTTTTCATCATCCTTGTCACCATCAAACTCCACCGACATGCGTCGGAAGCTCCGAAGTTCCTCTGAACATCTTCAGTTGCAAAGTGCTGCGGCTGCAAAGTCTTGACTACAGGCGCTGGGAAAGTGATGGTCTGTCTGGAGATGAAGGTATCTTTCTTCTTAGGCTCAACCACCGGAAGTGTTGATTGTTTTCCTTCAAGCCTTGAACCGGTGGGCTTGGAAGAAAGCTTGAAAACAGTCTTTCATTTGAAGTACTTGTCCGTTCTTCAACATGCATCTTCAGAAGTACGCCAGTTATCAACAATGTGTACCTTGGTGCCATGTTCATACTCAAGAAAAGTCTCCCTCATATTGGCAAGTTCATCCAATTCAACAGGTCGATCTCGTGTACCATGTGGGGAAAATAAAGTTTTTCGAGGTCGTTTGTGGTACCTCACCAAAGTGTTCCCTTCAAGTTCCCACTTATCATGGTGATAAATAAGTGGAACTTTGAATGAACCCGGAAGTGGTGCAACAACAAAATTATCCTTACCACCCTGAGAATAGTAAGAAAACAAGTGTTCGCAAACATCCGCCAAAGCTTCGGGGTTGAAAGGTTTCACAAGTGGACAAATGAACAAAGTGAGCCATGTCCAGTTACTTTCATTCTTTGCCCAAAAGGTGAAGTCATAGAACAACTTTCCCGTCCAAGTTCAACCTTGTAGCCTGCAACAAAAGTCGTGACACAGAAAGAACACTGTACAGAACATAGCACACATAGAAGTGCAACCAACGTGAAAATACCAGCAAGTTCAAACTCAACAAGTTTTCGACTCTAAACATTCAGGCGTTGACCAGAAATCGATTTGAGTGGTGGCGGCTTCCCCGAAAGTGGAAGCAGTGGCCAGTCAGGTGCAAAGTCCCTAGGGCAACTGGCTGCAGCTCCTGAATCAAACAAGATCCAAGTATCAACATCCATCATCGAGGATACCAACTGTTCAGTCATGTAAGGATCATGACAGGCAGTGTTCGCCTCATGACATGACCCAAAATCGGAAGCATTGGCTTAACACTACAGCCCGCACAAGTGCCGAAGCTACAGAAGCTGAAGTTGAAGCAAGCCTTCACTGTGTTGTCAAACATGCTGATGTACGTCTTAAAGTTCCAGCTCCAATCTCCACACATGCTTGGGTTTCCACCATGCTTGTCAGGAAGTGGCAACTTGAGTTTACCAGCAAAGTCAAAGCTCCCTTCTGTTGTCATCTCAAGGTCTTGAGGTCAAAGTGCGAATGCCCCCTAGATCGAGAACTCCGGCTACCACGCGAAATTCCCACAGTACCAAAATACTAACAGCTTCACTCCAAGCCTAACCTAAGTAAGACTCAAAGTTCCTCTTTTACATCAGGCATCTTGAGCCAGATCTTGAGACTTGAGCCAAGTATTTGGCAGAAGTCTCATGCATGTAGAGCGGAGGAAAAGTGCCTATAAAGTGTTGCAGACAGACTGAACGACCGACGGACGGAAGGACAGAGACAGAGACAGAGACGAACAGAGAGAGGAGCAAAGAAACAGACGGAGAGAATCAGACGGAGAGAAACTGACAAAGAGAAACAGAGAAAGCAGGAAACAGGCAGAGAGAGAGAGAGAGAGACACTACGCGTGCTACTCGACAACCCAGCGGGCATTGCAAATTCAATTGCCTTTTTTTGAGCTGTGCTGGACCTGAAAGTCTTGTAAACTTGCTTGTCCCTTGTCGACAAGCTATGAAACAACATCTTCACATTGCCATTGGTCTGACATGTCTTTCGGAGAGCGCTCTAGCGTTCCGTTCAACTTGCAGTGGAAAACGCAGAGACAGCTCTACCGCTCGTTTTTGCTATAAAGGCCTGTTGAAGACCCTCCTTGCAAGTGGCAAGGCCAGGGGCGGGCCCAGATTTGAGTCTAAAAGCCCAACGATCAGAGCACATGAAACGCTCATCCCAACCATCGGCGCGACTGCCAGGGATTTGCGCTTTGGTTATAAGCAGTGCTGGACCTAGAGGCGCGCTACCGGAAGGCTACGCCACTTACCACGACTAGGAGAGCTTGTTTCCAGCGGGGCACGAATTTGGAGCCAAGCTTTGCTCCTCCATACCGTGTGCAGAGATCATCCCTGATTGCCACCTCTTTGAATGAACCAATCCTCAGTCAAGCGAGTGAAGCATCGGTGCCATAGAAGCATTGGCAGTTCCCGTGGCAAAAGCTTGGGCGAGCACGCCTGACTTGAAACGATCAAGAGCCACCTTGTTGCCGCAAAGGATAGATTCGCTGCCAAGGCAATTTGAAAGAGCCGCGCTCGGGTGAAGCAACCAGCAGCCCGTCGACCCCATCCAGCCTCGTCGTCGGCCGCCTCTGCTTGCAGGCCCACCTCAACTTCCAAACTTCCAAGCCCGGACAGGAAGCGCGTAACTCATGCCAGCTTGTGACATCTTGGGCTCCTCACCAAAGGCATCCACGCGGAACCATGAGGATGAAGCTGAACATCTCCATGTATGCGGGTGTGAAGTTCATGATTCCCCAACGGGAATGCCAGACTCGGTAGCCGCACCAAATTTCAGCACCCCAAGAAGTCCCGTAAGGCATTTCCCAAGCTCATCAGGATACATATCAGAAGTAAGCAACCAGGCGATAAGTCCCGGATTTCCAGCTGCCTGATCACCTTTATGTCACCTCCTTTTTGGATGTGCACCTCGGCCTGCATAGGGTGTGAAGGTGCGGTAATACTGTCGGGTGCCTAAGCGGTCGACAGTCACCTGGAACATTACCAAATTTGCAAAAACCGGGCAAGGGCACAGTGCCGCAGATGCAACGCCGAAACTGTACAGCCTTCCTAGCTGCGCTTCGTGCTTCGAAACTTGACTCAAGATCATCTGCCAAGTCCTACGGACTGGGCTGGCAGGCCTGTGGCCTAAGCCATCAAGTGATCTGCCACGGGGTCACCGCATAGGAAACGTAAGTGCACGGCTGAAGAGCTACTGTCAAGCGAAGAATCCGCTCCAAGCCCGGACTGAAAAAACCTTGCGTCAAGCCAACGAAAATCCGCCCCCTTGGAGAACTGTTGTATACAACTTGCAACAACAAAGTAAGGTTGCTCCATCTTCTGCATTGAATTTAATCCGTTAGCCGCACCATCAGTTCAAAAGGTCCAAGTCAATTGCGCGCTACTCCCAGGCCCTCGTAGAGGTGGACCGCTTCTTGCCAACCCTTTCCCGCAAAGGCAAAAAACGTCAAAAACTTCGCCCACCCCTTCAGAAAACTAACCACCGAGATACAACCATGGCCTACCGAACGAATACTCTTCTCAACAATCTGTTGTGCTGTGAAGGGCAGAGCGGGAAATTTCTTCTCCACTGTAGCTGACCCTTTTCTCTTTTGAATTCCTTATCACCATGTCTTTACAATAAAATTAACCGAAGTTTCACCTGCCAAGAAGCTAAAAACCTCGTCCTTCAGCCCTTTCACAGGAGCAACATGTACTTGTCCAGGTCTGCGTTTGGACCCTTGTCGCTGATAGCCATACAGGCTAGTCAGAGCGCACAACAACATGCTACACAACGGCAAGTTTTTCATGCCACACTTGCAAAAAAGTCTGGACTAGTCTACCGGCAAGGTCAAGAGCGTGGCTGTAATGAAGGGCCGTAAAGGTCCAGCACTTTTGGCTCGCAAAGAAAATGTGTTAGGAGCGGTGTTCCCAGTGACTTTTCTCTTCTACTTTTTCTCCCTTGCTTGGGTTATTTTACCCCTTCCAAAGTTTTCCACCCCTTTTGACCACGTTGGGGACCGGCTCCAAAATTATATTCCTCCTTGTCGATCCGACGGCCATGTTCATCTTCAAATTTCATTTCTAAAGTGGCCGTGGACCAGCCCTCCTTCGTCGAGGTCCGTCAATGAGTCTGCAAAGACGCGTGCCAGCTTCCCTTCTCTCAGTAGGTTCAAATCTCGGCAGGTGACTGCCTGGCCAAAGTGTCTCCGATCCAGGGCCTCCTCTTCCAGCTGGTTGAACACGACCTGCTCAACGGGCTCGGCAAGTTGTCTTCACCTTCACCAGATCCTGTGAATTGCATGGGCAGCCCGAGCGCCACCTGCGCGACCATGACCTTTGCAGAAGTCCTTTCATGTCTTCTCTCGGCTTCCTTCCTTTCCTCCATTCTCAACCTTTTGGATGGCAAAAGTGGCCATGTAATCGCCTGGTGGGCGCCAGCGAAATTGGCAGGCCCGGCTCTGAAGCCACCTGCCTCCTTTGAAGTAGGCCTGCATCACCTTCTTCACGCGGTCCTCTTCGGCAAGCACCGTCACATCGAGCCAAATGCTGTCTTGCCGAGAAAGGTCAGAAGTGATGGTCGAGGAGTGCCACGACCCTCTGGGCTGGTAGCGACATGAACTCCAGCACCCGAGTTTGCCATGATGTGGAACCAGATCTCATACCAGCGCCCAACATGCTAAGTGTCAATCTTGTTGGACGCAGCGAAAAAAACATGGTAGCACATCCCACAAGTTCCTCGTGAGTTCGCAGCACGGAAAGCAGACAGCTCACCGTGTGCGGCGCAGCAATGTCACTGCTGAAGACAGGGTGCAAGCAGTCCGCATGCAAAAGAACTTTTGTTTCGCACCGCCTGGAGCTGTTTTACTGGCTAATTCCGTTTTGTCAAGGTGGCACCATGCTGCCACAACCCAACTTTGCAAAAGAGCAACAAGTTGCCCAAGGCATCATCAATGCAGAGGCCACAAGACCGACTATGGTGCTTTTCTTCTTGTGGCGCAGCTGGGCAACTGTGTGGACCCAAACCCCTGCAATGAAACAGTTTGCAGCTAGCGTGCCAACAGAGATTTCAAGTATTCTTGCTCACGGTGGAGCTGAACAAGCAATCACACGGCGACAGGACCGTCTATCCATAAAAATGCTATGATCGTATGAGTGTTGCCACCTATGTTGATTGCTTGAGGGAAATAGGTTGGCCCCGCAAACTCGCGCTGTAAGTTTCCATTGTTTGGAACAACCGCAGATTCATTGACTGAATATAATGGACATGTCCACCCCGAAGAGGCTCACTCCAGCGTAGTCCGTCAGGGATGTACACTTAGTCCTTTAGCTCTATCCACCTGCACAGCTGCTGGCGTCAATGCAGTGAATCTGTATATGCAGCAGCAACAAGGACATGCTCCTCAATCTACCTAGCAGATGTTGCGTAAATGTTACATGGGCGGCAGCTGGATTGGCCAACAGCTTGAGCACGGACTTGCACGTGCCGCTGCTTGGGAACGGTGGAGCCCGATGGGGAATCTGCGCTGATTGCTCCAAGGCGCAGGCATGCACTGGACCAGCCAAAAACCAGCTTGATCTCCAGAGCCTACGATCAGACTGGGCCAATGAAGAAATCAAGGTGCTTGGCGCCAATGTCCGCATTAGATCAACCAAAAATATGAAACAGGAAGATGCACGTTTGCGCAAAGCAATGGCCAGGGCTGCTTTGATTAGATGTTTGCCAGCTCCTCACAGAAAGTTTTGTTTTCCAGCATTTAGCTCTGCCGTCTGCACCACATGGGTGGACCTGCCGATTTCCTACCACTTCAAACAAAGTTTTTGCCCATTTGACAGCAGCTTTGAGCCATGTATTGAAGCAATGCCCATCTTCAACCAGTGCTAGTCACTGACCTGCAATGGCCAGCGTGCTGCGTCATTAACTTGCGCCCAGGTCAACACTTCTGTGGGCATGTCGCACTCTGGGTTGAAGCAGCAGAGTTGCTGTGAAGATGGAAATTTGCAATGGCCGCGCTGGAATTTCCTCTTAACGTGAATGATGCAGCAACAAAACCAGATGGAAGATTGGCCAAAGGGCAAGCTTCATGAAGCTGTACCAGAGGGTCGCGCAGCCGTACGGTCCCCGGGAAGCTCAATGAACCCCAGCTGATCGGACTTTAGTCAGTGTCCGTGGTGCGAAGACTAAGAGTGTTGGGCTCTAGAAGCACATGGACTGGGAACGTGCTTATGTCCAAACTGTTCAAAGTAGACTTGGAGCTGTGAGTTTCCTACGTCCCGCTTCGGGTGGCTTCCCTGTTTCCACCTGATCGAGGAAGCAGGAGGTGCGATTGAATTTGAACAAAGCTGTGGCATTGCCGCTGCGCTCGGTAGGTCCTTTTTGGCAACCTTTTTTGGTGGGCACCTTCGATGCTGTATGCGATGGTACCCTTGGTGCAAGAGCTGCAGCAATGGATCAATTATGGACTGCCATGGGCTATCCTGGAGCATTCAACTGTGGCCGTGGATCGCATGGCATGGACGCATGAGGCCGCCGCACGTGAAGTGAAACGTGAACCCTTTTCAAAAGCGGAATGTGGCGTCCCATCAAAATGCTCAAGCACAACTGCTTACGAGCGCTTGCAAAGACATGTCCTTTGTTGCCACCACTTAATTTATAGATCGACCGGATTGATCCCCATCATACTTTTTTCGACCTTGTTTCTTGAGCCGTGACAACATAGCTGACATAGCTACACAAACACCGGCCAACAAGAACTGTGACAGGCATACCTGACGATTTCACACTGAATGTTACTAATTTTGAAGGCTTTTGCGGGCTGCCTCCTATGACACCCAGCCGGAAATGATCAGCAATGCATTCCTGCCTTCAACGTTGCCAAGCGTTCATCGTCCATCTTGGCGGCAACGGCTACAACCGCCTAACGGAAACGCTGCTAGCACCAAGCCATCAGGTCGCAACAGTATCAACATCCCTGTTGAATCCAAAACGCATGTCGTACCATGGCTTCCTCTTAAATTTGAAATAACCTTGCTAGAGCTTCAAACAACAAGCAAACACGCACGGCGACATCTCGCGCCCACCAGAAAGAGCAAGAACAAATGACCAAGACTGCCACACCAGCACCCCCAACAACAGGTTTTGAGAAACTAGACGACGGATGGCCCTAGAGCGTAGCGAGCAAATTACCCCTGTGTAAGTAAAAACACGATCTAATAAGTATGTAAGAAGTATGTGGCGTAAGTAGAAGAAAAGACAATGATAGCGGGATATAGCGATGGGAAATGTAGCAGCAGATTATCAGAAAGATGAAAGACGCAAGATATCAAAATGTGAAGATAAAAGCTGAAGAGAGGCATTGAAACATTTGTACTGAGAAGATGAAAATTGAATGGGCGAGGCTGTATGAAGGAGACAGGGTGGTAGGAAGAGAGCGAGGGAAGGAAAGAAAAGATGGAGAAAATGCAAGATGTGAAGATGTAACCAAGACACTTTTACACACAGGCGCTTTTACACACAGACGCAGAAATGTTTATACACACAGACGCCTTTACATACACAGATGCCTTTACGCACAGACGCTTTTACACACACGCACACACACTTGCTCAGAACAATCATTGCGAATTTTGGTGTGGAGTGCATCTTACGTGCAAAAACAATCCAGTTTAACCTGACAGGAGCGGGTTGGTGAACAGACTCGAGAAAGAGTCAAAAAGAAATCGTTTCCATAGCTCAGGCTAGAAGCAATAAGTTGACAGATTGCGACAACAGCGCAGCGAAACTGAAAAACAGAAGCCAATTGGTCGACATGCCGGTTCTTGGCTTAGCCAGTTGCCATTGACGAGAAATGGGACATGGGAAGTACGCAGATTGGCGTCCCAATCTGTATCACCAGATCAAATGGGTGTCTTCGTTGGTAGCGGTCCCAAGTGATCTGCCGCTACCCCCTGCTTAACAAGTGAAATAGATCAAGTACTCAAACAGAAGTGGCACAAGATGTTTCACAAACACACGCGCCCTCCTGCGGGAGGGTCGGAAACTAAGGTCCGGACAGTGAGATGAAAATGAAAATGAAAGGAATTGAAGATGAGGTGAAGATGAAAATAAGATGAAAATTACTTAACCAGGACGTGAAGAGCGGAACGCAAAAGAAGAGGGAAGGAGAAAACACCAACGCAAGAAAACCTGACCCAAAGGCAAACCCTGAAAGGGCAAGGGAAAAGAAAAGCGGAGGCAGACGGACACGGAACAAGACCAGTGGAGGGGGGGGACGGAAGCGCCTGAACCAACCTACCACAGCAAAACCTACGCCTACCTAAGCACGCGAAGGACCCAACCTACCTGAAGAGAGGAAAACATATGAAATAAGGGACCCATGGGGGACTAGTTAGTAAAATGATGCATCCACAAGTCATGCAAAATTCGTGATAAGGCTCAAAGGCCCTCCGCTGTCAAGTCACAACCGTATAGACGGCTTAAGCATTCAACCCCTGAATTACGTGCACAATTGAACCGTACCAGAGTAACCAAAAGAAAGTGAAAGCATGTCCTGCTGCCTTGCTTCACATTTGACAAATGGCTGCGAGCAGCCTCTTGAGGTAACAGAAAGATTGTTAACTTGGCTTCCAGCTATGCATTTCAGTGCGGAAATAAAGGAGGTGAGTCCCAGAAACAGCAGGCAGCTGTTCAACACATCGACAGTCGACAGGGTGAAAATCAAAAAAAGGCCAACTGTTCCACTTACTTAGACGAATTACTCGGTTGAACAGTGTAAATTCAGAGATCAAGTCGGAGGATAATTGCTGCTTATTGAGAAGAAAAAAATGCCATGGCAACAGTATCACAGTAGGCAGGTGCAAACAGCCATTGCAATCGACTTTCTTCTGTCATGAGTTTAGAACGCAACGTACATGGAGCCAACAATATGCGTGGCTGAATCCGGACCAGGGAAGAATCGAAGGGTTGAGGCAGGTAGTTTCTGTCCGTGAGTGGCGATACTGATCCATGTCTCAAGTGGTGCTATGTTGTAAGATTGTCACTCCATGTCTCCAATGACATGCGCTGATTCCATGTTTGGCTGCGGACCAGGGGGGAATCGAATGGGGAGGGGGGGGGGGCCTCCCCCCCCCTAAGTCGAGATTCCTTACTTTCAGCTGTCAATTTCCGGGAAAGGGCCAACCACCTCCCCCAGTACTAAACTAGTACTAAAGTACATAGAACTCAGGTAGCCTAGGCTACCTTTCGTGATGTGCAGACATGAGATGTGAGGATGTAAGATGTGAAGATGTAAGATATGCAGATGTGAGATGTGAAGATGTATATAGATGTATTATCTCAGCTCCTTTGCAAACAGGACCCTAAGCCTAGGCGCTCTCGGGAAAAATGCCGCTGTCCTATCTCCACTTGAACTGCCTACAGATCTCCAACGGTGCTTTGTATTCCGCTCACCTTGGGGCATCTTAACACTGGATCTCAAATTATGTTGCTTTTGAATGGCGCAAAGGTTTGAACTTGTCAAGGGAAAGCTAGTGTTCCAAATCATGTTGTACAATGTTTGCTTAAGGCCGGTTGCAGTTGGCATCCCACCCTCGCCCTCACCCTGCACTACCACAATCTCAAAGCCGTCAAGATCTCACCGCCAATCCCAACCCCGGTGGCATCCAGTGCGCACTTGAGATGTCAATTCTTTTGGGATCTGCGGCTTTTGGTTGCAGCGGCGATGGTGGCGGTTGTTGTGTTGGTTCTTATTGCTGTTGTTGGTTGTTGTGACTGTTGCAATTTTGCCTGATCAGTTGCATTGGCAGAAAAGGCAAAAAATGTGCGATCCAACTATCAAGTCGACTGTGTTTTCGATTATCCACATGGCATTTTGAAAAGTTTTTTCTCCACGGCAAAAAGTAGCAGAGCAGAAGCAGAGAGGCTTAGATCACGCAAAAGAAACTTGACCATTGCACCAAC